TTACACGTTGCTCTTCACTTCGCAAAGCCGTGGAAACTTTCAAATATATTTCTCAGATAAGACGAAACATCTTTTTTTATTACATTGTTTTTCACATGAAAATTCCAATGATAAGAGATATTTGCTTATATTATTGATTGAATTATATCAACTCATCGAGATATACAGTCTTGTATGTGATGTTGTAAGGGTCGCTTCACAAAGGTGATTTTGAAGTCATACATCCCACCGAAGTCAGTGCCACGTCAAGCATTCGGACACGTTGCAAACTCTTAACATGATTGACTTCAAATTTCAACCTTACCGAGTGAACGTGTATTTGATGTACTGCTAAAAAGACACAGAAACATTTTATGCTCTTTTGAAATAGATTTTTGTATAAAAGAAAACTTTCGGTGTGTTTCGTAATGGAAATATAAATTCCTATCTGAGGCAGCGTGAAATAGATCTGGAAAATATTGCGCTCTCATTGGCTGGCGGGAACGTATCAAAATGTTTGGCGAACACTTTAACAAAAATGAAAAGATGTTTCAACAGGTTCCAATAATGTGTGTGCAAAGGGCCAACATGTATCAAAGTGTAAAGAATGTAAAAAAGACATATATATATATATATATATATATATATATAATATATATATATATATATATATATATATATATATATATATATATATATATATATATATATATATATATATATATATATGTATATGTATATATATATATATATATATATATATATATATATATATATATATATATATATATATATAATACATATACATATATATATATATATATATATATATATATATATATACATACACACACACACACACACACACACACACACACACACACACACACACACACACACTCTATATATATATATATGTATATATATATATATATATATATGTATATATATATATTATATATATATATATATATATATATATAATAGATAGATAGATAGATAGATATAGATAGATAGATATATAATATATATATATATATATATATATATATATATATATATATATATATATATATATATATATATATAATATGCGTTTATGGTGTGTGTGTTGTGTGTGTGTGTGTGGAATTCATGTTGAACAGATTGCAACAGGAACAACGAAGGGAAGGCAAAGAAAACACACGAATATACCGAAGGCCTTTTCACTATTGCTTCGTCAGGGCATATGCTACATGAGGTACATAAGGGAGTATGTGTGTGTGTTGTGTTGTGTGTGTGTGTGTGTGGTGTCTCTTGTATATAAGTTTGCATGTATATACACCACATTCACGCACATATCGCTTTTCCTCAGCCTGGAAACCCAACTGTGTCATATGAGTCAGGCACATGAGAAGGAAATCTGATCCCCATTTTCAGATTTCTTTCGACGGATAAAAGTCCAGATTTTGAATCTTTGACAGGTCATGAAAAATCAGATTTTCTTTTTTTTCAATGGTGGAAACATGAATAGTTAAAATCATTTGACTTCAGCTGCTTGGTGTGGGAAAAAAAGAGAAATCGGATTTTGACTTTTTATATATAAAAATATTTATTACCAGTCAGTGTTATGAATCACATGACACATAAAGCCTGCCTACTATATTTAGTACATACACACATACACGCACACACAACTCACACACATACACACAAATAAACCCCCACACACACGCTCAAACACATACGCACACACACACATATGCACACATACACGCACATACACACACACATACGTACACAAATGCACACACACACACACACATACACACAAATGAACCCCCCACACACACGCTCAAACACACGTACACACACACATATGTACACATACACACACACATACGTACACAAATACACACATGCACACACACACGCCCATGCACAGCAATCTGGACCCCACGCCACCCGAATTCACCGTGTCACCAGAACGCAATATGGAAATGCAGTTTACATCACCCGGAATCAAGGCTCGGCTTTTAGATGGCTTCTCATTGCCGGGGGGGGGGGGAGGGGGGGAGGAGAGGAAGGGAGGAGAGGGGAGGGGGAGGAGGGAGTTGGGGATTATAGGACGGGGATTTGGGGAATGGGGAGGTAGGGGGAGGGAGAGAACGGATTGGAAGAAAGGGGGAGAGGAGACAGGGTAGGAAGAGAGAATGGGGAGAGGGATGGAGGGAGTAGGGGGGACGGGTAGGAAGAAGGGTGGGGAGAAGGGCTAGGGGGGGAACAGGTAGGAAGAGGGGGGTGGAGTGAGGTAGGGAATGAAGATAGCGGGGGGGAAGAGAGAGTGAGGGGGATTGGAGGAAGTAGAGGGAGGGGGAGGATATAAGTAAATGAGCGGATAGGAAATGAAGTGGAGGGGAGAGGAGAGAGGGGGAATAGATAGTAGGAAAAAAATGAATAACGAATAGAAAAAAAGGATAGAAGAGTTATAAGTTAAAGAATTTTATCGTATCTTCCAGACGTCTAAATACCCGTTGTTGGA